TATAAAGTTAATTACTAACTTGAAACTGATCATTTAAAGTTAATTTAATTTTCCTTAATTTTGGCACTTTGAAACTTTTTATCAAAATTAAGCAAGTACATTTAATGGATTTGAGTGTAAATTTATTTCTTCAAAACTGATTGCTCTGTCTTAAAAACGTTAATTGCTTTTGTTGTTTTATCAGAAAACAAAACAAAATTTAATGCATTTAAGTGGTGCTCATGTCGATTTTTAAATAGCTGTATCATTGTTCAATGGTCATATTTTAAGTATTTACCAATTATTTCGGCCATATAATCGTAATGTACTTTGGCTATCACTGCTGTTGATACAGAAAGATAATTAAACGTAAATAAGCTGCATAGAAGCTTCGAATTGTTAGAAAATTAGAACAAAATGTAGGCATCGATTGGACTATCAGATTCTACACACTGCAAGAAAAATGATCGATCTTGATAAAATTCACGCTAAAAAAGTTGAAAATAGTGACTGATTTTAAGAGAAAGTGACATAAGTGACTTGGCCTTAAAAACTGAGACTTTTTAGTGCTTGAAAAAAAGGGACCAAATCACTCAAAAGTGACTCGCTACCAGCAAAACATTATATACTTCGGAAAATATTGAATAACTTCAGGAATGCTCGCAATCACTTCGAAAAGGACTGAATCGCAACATAAAAGTTCGGAATCACTTCGTAATGCAATGAATCATTTCATAAAGTACTGAATAGCTAATGTACTATAATAGAAGGGTCTTTAGTGACTAAAATATCAAAAATAATAACCAAACCAGAACTTTAAAATAATAATAAAGTGACTCATAGTTACATTTATTGACCGAAAAAAAATTGTTTCAATATTTCGTTGACTGCGACCCACTTCGAGATCAATCAAAACCCATCATGAGCAGTTTTCATGCTCCTTTAAAATAAATCAAATTATGTTTTTAGGATCCCATACATCTGATGTCGAAAAAATATTATTTGTTAAATTATTATTAGGTAATCAGGCCCCGTAACGTGGGTAGATCACCTTTTCTTGGTACGTTACGGGATGTAAGATCTACCACCGATTCCTAGTCCTGACTACTTCAAACTAACAAACTAAATCTTAGTCCTTGTTTATTTTTATGCCTTGTTGATAGTGACAAGACTCGGCTTTGTCCACTGAGGATGATCTTGAAACAAGGAAAAACTAGTTAGTTACTCTTCATCTATGTGATTCCTAATCTTCTATTCGTTGTTCCCTAGTTTGAAGTGATTAAGACTAGGCTTCTGATGCATGGTCATTATCGGTGTCATTCCTTAATTTTGTTGCTAAGGAATCCAATTTTGACTGACAAAGGGGCGCGCCTTTGGAGGGTGTTTCAACACTCCGAAGGGTATAAATAGCGGGACCTATCAATTAGAGTCGGATCCTTGCGATAAATGGAAAAATGACAACTGTAAAAAACCGAATACTTTATCATTTCTCAATAGTGATGGAGTAATACGACATGCACTAAACTAAGGACAATAGATCAAATTATTGGTCGCATTAATTCAATACGCAAGTGCATTGTCCATTTTCTCACTCTACGCATTTTTCTGACACGATTTATGATAACAAACAAACTGGTGATTTTTGACATTCAATTGGAACGATCTCGGATATAGAAACTTTTGTAACACCTCAAATGTTCATAACTCTGGGACCTACACAACTTTTCTAGTTAGCAGTAATAAAAAAATCTCATTATTCTGAAACGAAGAAAAGTTTCCAAGATGGAAAGAAGAAAATTTTGCATTCCAGATTGCAAATCCGGAAAAAATACAATACTTTCATCAAGATTTTCCAAAATTCTAGTCCTTGAATATTTTGTATTGTATTTTTTTCTAGACCATCTTTCGAAATCTAAGACTCAAAGATCACGAAGTAAAAAAGCCAAGATATTAGGACCACATTTCTTTCGAAACCTCAGAAAATTTGTAATGAAATTATCTATGACTATTTCGAGATCACAGAGGCATGGGAAAATTTTTATAAACATATCAAAATATTGGTGATTCCATCAACACGAACTGGACAGCTCCGGGCTGTTCGCAACTATTCTTTGTCAGGTCGCTGACGCTGATCTTTTCTCCACATCAAGCTGTGATTTGATGTGATTCTTTAAATGCAAATTCTCTACTCTTAACATTATTGCTTCGAAAAAAAAGTGATAGTGATATTTGGCTGAAACACGTGACTTTTAAGTGACTGACTTGAAAACAGTGACCAGCTATCAGCCCTGTGAATCCTTTCAGAAAAGTTTGGACTCACTTTGGAAAGTACTGAATCACTTCGGAATGTATTGTAATACTATAGAAATGTTGTGAACTGAATCGGAACTTCTGAAGATACCGAATCGGTTATGAAAAGTTTGGAATTACTTCAGAACGCACTGAATCACATTAGTAATGTATTGAGTCACTTCAGAAAGTACTGAATCACTTCGGAAAAGTTTTGAATTACTTCTGAATTCACTGATTTAGGTCAGCAGAGTTTAGAATCAATTTTTAAAGTACTGAAACGCTCCAGAAATTTGATTCTTTTCGGAAAGAATTAAATCATTCCAGAAAAGTTTGTAATCACTTTCGCAGGTACTGAATCACTTCTAAAAGAACTGAATCATTTTATAAAAGTTTAGAATCACTCCGGAAAGTACTGAATCATTCCAGAAAGTTCGTAGGAATTCACTGAACCACTTCAGAAATGTTCGGACTTACTTCGGTAAAAACTGAACTACTTCAGGAATGTTCGGAGTCACTTCGAAAGTACTGAATCGCTTCACAAAAAGTCGCAATTATTTCGGAAACTACTGAATCATTTCACAAAGTATTGAATCATTTCAGAGAGTACTGAATCACTTACAAAATTATGAATCACTTCAGAAAGTACTGAATCACTTCAGAAAAGTTTGGAATCACTCCGTAAAGTAATGAATCATTCCAGAAAGATTGTAATCACTTTTGCAAGTACTAGATCACTTTGTAAAGAATTGTACTGAATCATTTCAGGAAAGCTCGGAATCTCTTCGGATAATATTGAATCACTTCAGATTATTTCGCATTCACTTAGGAAAGTACTGTATCATTTCAGAAAGTTTGTAACCATTTCCGTAAGAACTGAATCACATCAAAATAATTTAATGACTTAGGAATGCACTGAATCAATTAAAAAATGTTCGGAATCAGTTCGGACGCACAGAATCGCTTCAGAAAATTTAATAATCTCTTCGGAAAGTTCAGCATAATTCTGAATCACTTCAGAAAGAACTGATTCACATCAGAAAAGTTTGGAATCATTCCGAAAAATACTGAATCATTTCAGAAATTTTGTAATCACTTCTGCAACTACTGTACTGCCGCTATTCGCATAACAGATCCATGTCCTATGGCATTCATATTTACATGGGACTGCTTAAATTAATGATAATCAAACGCATCACTTCAGAATGAACCATCACTGCACTTACAAAATACCATCCTTTGTTTTCTCGCGTAAGCAAACATGTTTTTTTTTTCTATGGGATCATCTCATCTATGGGATCGCCTTTAGGTAAAAATCTTATCCATAACATTTGTCAGATCATTTAATTTGTACAAAATGTGATAAAAAGTGTGTTGACATAGTTAATAGTCCTAACGAAATTTATTTTCTGCGTTTCAAATGCGTTCAATTCAAATTTAATGAAAACTGACACTGAATAGCTTAAACTTACGGTATTATGAAGTATCAGAATTTTTGAGATAATATTGGCAATGTTCCAAAGTTGTAAACGTGGGACGAAAAATGACACCGAGAATTATGCAAAATCGTATCAACACTTTGTTCTACGAAATAATATTTATTTTAATGAGTGTGTATTCATCTTTTAGAAGAGCTGATATAAAAAATATCTGGTTGGACACAATTGCAAAATGTATCCTGGTGTTCAAGTTATTTATTGTAAAAATTGCAAAAAATATAGGAAAAATTACATGTTGTTTCAAATATATTGTTTATTAATTTCAGTATGTTGCTTATAAGTAGAGCTTGAAACTTGCCCAAGAAAGCATTAAGCTAAGTAGTCAAATAAATCAGTTGGGACTGAAAAAGTGTGTCTGTTTTATAACTTGAACAGTCCTTATAAGCTTGTTTTATATGCTCGATCTTTGTGAAGATATTGAACAAACAATATGACCAAACAATTAACCTTAGATTTAAATTTCTTTGTAATTTGATATGGCATATGATAGGTTTCGGTTGTGAGACTCTGGACATTTCCCGGGGGAATTAAGAATGTATCCATGGGTGGCCAATGTGATCCTGAGCACTCAATATAACTGCCATGGATCGCTTTTTTGAGGATTCTCATGTGATTTGAAGTAATGCTTGTTTAAGTGTGTAAATGTTTACTGTTGCTATCATGAAAAGAACAACCCTAGGGGTAGGACACATCTAAATCTCAATTTTAGATTGTCGATTAATCTCACGCTAGTGAATTAATCTACGAGAAATCTTATTTCATCTTTTGCATCTAAATTCATCTAGGTACTCGCACCGCTCTCGACCTTTTTGCAGGAAATCTTAAAAATCTTCATCAATCGTCGCGCGCATTTCACAGCAATAAAGGAATTTTGTTTTTTCCTCCATCTTAGGTATAGTCGCCCTCATAGAGACAACCTATCAAATTTACATTGTCATATCTATTTTATACATCATTAGGATCATGATCATTTTACCAAGTTGTTGGGATGAAAGCAAATCGCATTGTTCAGCTTGATTTGTTTCTTTGAAGATCGATGTTTGCAATTTTTCAACGAAAATCGAAATTAAAAAAGATATCGTTACTGAGATCCAGAGACCACGTACAGCTCATTGGGCAGGCCTGCTTTAAACCAACCTTTGTTCGCTAGAAACCGGTGGTTGAAGCCATTGTTTACGAAAGCAATTTAATCCTATTGAAATGTTAATGAAGGGTTATCCATGATCTACTTACCCGGCACGTTATGATCATCCGCCAGTTTTAGCCATAATTTGTCCACGTATGGTCTGTTATGATAGCATTTATGCTTATTATCCCAAATAGCTGGCCTTGCAAAAATTTCGGCGATCAACGTTTTCGGATCTACGTTCATCTTTTAGGAGCTGAATGCACTGACTATACAGAACTGACAGCCCAACAACCAGCAAGCGTCAACTTCAGGCTCGCACGACTCGCTTTGCTCTCGGTTCGGTTCCGTTAGACCGGCTATAGACCAATACACCAGACAATCATCGAATATCTGTAGGTATGAGTAGACTTTGCCCCATCGCAGCACCAGCAAGTTCTCGTCTCGCTTCCGCTTCTCGCATGCTGATCGGCGCGCTTGCTTGCCTTTTCGTCCTTACATTGCTATCGCGTGATGTTGGCACTTGGTAAACATAAAACAATAGTCACTTGAAACTATTTTAATCCATTTACTATGAAGCGCAACATAAATTATGCAATTGTTGTGGTTTAATTAAAAATAAACCTATAAAAAGCCCTTAACCTAGAACATGCTAAAAAAGTGTTATATTCGCCGCTGGGATACGGACGAGATTTTTACCATCGCCAACCAACAGCGAAGCGTTTTGCCAAACACACTTGGACACGCCTACCAATACAAGTGCGATTGAATGAAAATGAATTTTTTTACTCGTTTCGTTGTATTATTGTTTACTTCTTGTTGGTTTTGCTTTTCCTTTTCAGTCCATACATACTAACACTACCGTTGCTTCATCGTCATCATCAGCTTGTCGTCGTCGTCGTCGGTGGGTGAGCTACGATATGTACGATTCCAAAATGTTGGCCTACAGACCGAATGAAAAATCGATAAGTACCAGAAATGTTAGGGTGGTGGTACAATCGGAAATGATAGGTTAGGTAAAAAGGCGTTAGGTAAAGGCGTAGCAACAAAGCAAGACCATGCTGGTGGTGGCTGGGTTCGATTCCCGGTCCGGAATTTTCCAGGTTGGAAAATTTTTCGGCTTCCTTGGGCATAGAGGATGATTGTATTTGTCACACAATTACACTAATGCATAAATGGTTATATGCATCGAAAGCTCTCAATTAAAACTGTGAAAGTGCATCTAGAACACTATGTTGAGTGCACGCAATAAGCTAATATGCTATATGCAATAAGCTTGAAATGCGAAGAAAAAGAAAGAACAACATTACTGAAATTCATTTATCGTCAACAGTCACTCGTCAGCTGGCAGAATAAGTGGAGTGAAGGGAGTTTGGGACGATGGCTATATTCGATCATCCCTAAGGTGTCGAAGAGTTTTTGGTTCAAGGGGTTGGATGTGGGTCGAGACTTCATTCGTATGATGTCTCGCCTCATGTCCAATCACTATTCGTTAAACGCTCACTTGTTCCGTGTTGGGCTGAAGGACAGCAATCTCTGTGAATGTGGACAAGGTTACCAGGACGCAGATCACATTATTTGGTCTTGTGCTGAGTATCGCGGAGTCAGATCTGAACTGTACGATTCCCTTCGGGCTCGAGGTAGACAACCTAATGTTCCAGTTCGGGATATTTTGGCTAGACGCGATCTGGAGTTTATGAAACTCATATATGTTTACTTTAAGAATATTAACATTAGATTGTAAGTTTTATTAACCTTGTGTTTAGTTTGTATTTTGTACGTGTGGGTTTTTTTTTATGTTTGTTTTGAAGATGAATAGAAATTAGTTCATGTTTTAGGATTAATTAAATATTTGTATCGTAAACCACATTTCAAACCTCCCTCTCCCTTTTCCCATCCAAAAAAAATTGTAAATCCCCACTAACCTCGAGACAACCGCGAGTATCCGGTCCAGCTCCTTTAACTTTAAATATAAGAAATCAATAATGTATAACAAAAATGATAACTCGGCTCTGTAAAGTTTATTCGATTGAGCCTGTACAAATAAAGTAATTAATAAAAAAAAAAAAAAAAAAAAAAAAAAACATTACTGAAATTAAAAAGAAGCATTCTGACCCTTATAACAAGATCCATAAAAAGTGCTCATTCATAAATATCTGTGGAATAATTCTGCCATTCAGATTAACGAAGTAATTTTTAGTAAGGGAAACGTAAGCAGTTTGATATCTTATACAATTGACCACGTGATTCTATTGCATTAAATAATGATCTTCAACTTAAAATATGGTAAGAAACCAGGAGTGTGGCTCTACGATTATCCAAGCTAATCATCTAAACCAATACCGTTCTGAATCATATTTCGGACATTTTAAGGTATGTGCCGCAGTAAAAGGACACATAATTTATGGTAACAATTTAGTTTCATTTCTTCGACACATTGCTTAAGTATCCTTTCATTGAGGTATTCCGTAAAAAAAATGCAATAAAAACACAATTGTGTAAGGATCTTTAAAGTGTAAACCAAAACGCTTTATAAAATTAAGTATATTGCCTGCTCTATGAATAATTGTGTTATAATGATCCACAAATATTTGTTTAGAATCTAGAATAACTCCTAAATCTCTTATTTTATCACAACTTTGAACAATTTGATTATCTAATGTAATACGAATATCTGGCTTTATTAGTTTTCTACGGTAAGTAATGAGATTACATTTTTCAACATTTAGTTCCAACAAACTTTTACAACACCACGTATAAAAAACATGAACTTCATTCTGAAACGTATTGATATAATCATAATTTCTTATCTCTAAAAAGAGTTTCATGTCATCAGCATAAATAAGCACTCTGAGATTTTTCAAAATAAGGGAGATATCGTTAACGTACAAAATGAAAAGAAGAAGTCCCAAGAGCGAGCCCTGTGGAACTCCTGACGTGACTTGAATTGGGTTAGATTTTTTCTCGCTGAATCTTACAATTTGCCGACGGTCCGTTAAATATGACTTAATCCAGGTGAGGAGTTTTATCTCAATTCCCATTTTTTCTAATTTAAAAATCAACATTGGAATGTCAAGTCTATCGAACGCTTTACTGAAGTCAGTGTTAAGAACTTCTATTTGGCTTCCCTTGTCCATTGCAGTTAATGAGTAATCAACAAATTCCAGGAGCTTTGTTGTGGTAGAACGACCTTTAAAAAAGCCGTGTTGTGCATGTGTTATTCTATGTTTTATTTGGCTGAAGATATTTTTGTTTATGATTAATTCGAATAGTTTAGGAATGCACGAGATGATGGCAATCCCACGATAATTTCGGATATCAGATTTTTTACCAGATTTATAAATGGGTATTAAAAAAGATTTTTTCCATTCCTGCAGGAATGTACCAGAGTTAAGTGACATATAAAACAGCCAGTATAAAGGGGTTGTGAGCTCAATTGCTAAATTTTTCATGAAGGCTGGTGGGATTTCATCTGGTCCTGAGCCTTTAGTGGAGTCCAAATCTTTTAGACCAGTCGAAATATCTTGAACATAAATATTTCTAACACCAACATTACTCTAAAAGTCAGGAAAGTATGAAAAATATTCATAATCACGATCATCGAGAAATTGGAGTACGTCTCTTGAAAAAATATTGCATAAAAGATTACTTATATCTTCTGAATTATTTCCTACTTTTTCGTCTAAAGTCATTTTTGATGGAAAGTTGCACGAATTAATTTTAGTTTTAACGTAATTGTAGAAGTTTCTTGGACATGATTTAATTTCATTTTCAGTTTTCATGTTGTACTCATTAAGTGCAGCAGAAACAGCAAAGCAAAGCTAGTCACAAATATTCAAATACTTTTCCAAATTACCCTGATTATTCTGTTTTCTATATATTTTGTGAGCCTTTTGTTTTCGATTCTTAAAATTAATGATTTGCTTATTGAACCAAACCGGATTTTTGGAGCGATAACAACGTCGTCTTCTTCTAAAAGGAATTTCCTCTTGTGTAATTTCCATTAAAACTTTATAAAAAACGTCTACTGCACAATCGACATTCTCTTGATTTCTCAAAACTGATTGCCAATTAATTGTACTCAATTAATACTTAATATTGTCATAATTAGCATTATCGTAATCAAAGACATCTTCGTAGTCACAGTCGATAGGATGGTTTTCATGCACAAATATAGAATACTCGATTGCTGTGTGAAACGCTTCATTTTTCCATAATGGAGAAACAAATTCACTTACACAGAAATCTTCATGCGTATTTGTTAGTAAAAAATCCAGGAAGCAGTTCTGCTGATTATTTACATGATTTATTTGGTTTAGGCCTTAAAAATAAATTGCAATGTCCCATTTTCACCAACGAGTGGAAGTAGAATACTCTCATTTTCTGAATCAGCAATGAAATCAGCATTCCGTTGATTGAAATCGCCATAGATATGAGTTTTTTTTTCAGGAGGAAATTGAGATATTTCTTCGGCTATTGATCTTGACGATTTGATTCAACTACATGCTTAATAATACTTGTTTTATTTTTAATAATAACTGCAAATCTGGAGAATTTGTTCAACCACAACACATTGAACTTATTGGTCACAGACAAACAGACACATCTCTTAGAAGAAAATTCTTTTAAAAATATCTTGAAGCGTATTTTGCATGCACACTAGAGCCAACAATCAATTCGAAACTAACGATTTTAAATTGGCTCACTACTTGACTAGCCTATTGGTTCTAAGCAAATCGATTAACGTATCCCATTCTAGTATAAATTCTAGTACTACACTATGTTTGTTTTGATTCGCTATGAAAGTTTGACAGATAAAATGAGGGGTTATTGGTTTTTCCTATGTTTCGAGGGGTGAATGGATTAGCTTGGGACCGAAGATAGTACCAGAGCTGAGCCATAAAATAAAATAAAATAAAATTATTTCGGGACCTTCTAGTCTTAGAGTTACCTCTATGCTAGAACCCTCTATCATGCAAATTCCGAAGCATTGTTTAGCAAGCAGAGCATCCCTCGTTCGTGTAATTTTTTCACTAGTTGCTCACTAGTCCCTCATTCTGTCAAGGCGTCAGCTGTGTTGAATAAAAACAAAACAGATAGAAATCAGTGAAAATTTTCGGAATATTTCGTACACAGCAAAAAAAAATGTAATATCGATCAATGTAATTCAAGCTGATGTATGAAATAATGATGTAATAGCAAAAAGCAGATAGAATATTACATCAATGGATGTAATTTTGTTCGCAAAATCGATGTACATCGTACAACGTTATATTACACAACCGATGGATTGACCTGGTTGCAGCAGT